CCCCAAAACCCCAAAACCCCAAAACCCCAGATTGCAATATTGAAAACAAATATTGATAATTGATTTAATCATAGACAACGAGTGAAGAGTAAAGATTAAATTTAGTAAAATTAGCTATCTTAAATCAATCTTAGTGTTAAGACTTAATCTTTGACTGAGTCTGATTTTCACCAGATTTTATTAACAGATATCTAGGAATGTGACCTACTGAAGAAGGTATATCGTAGTTACCTGGGCCTGGCTCAAAGGTCTTCTTAATCTTGGTGTTCTTCATCTGAGTTCCAAATCCAACTTGAGCTGATTCGTTCTTTGGTCTTGTTTCATATTCACCTGGTCCTGGGTAAAGATGAGCCTTTCCAACTCCTAGATCACTTCTAACACTAGTACCGATAACATGAGCAACATTTTAGTGATGAAGTGGAATGACATCAGTTTCGTACTCGCCTGGACCTGGCATATCAAGATTCTTGTTAGATCTGGCCCCAGCCTTGATACCCATATGAAACTTGGGTTTCTCCAAAGCACCTTCAAAGTCACCCTTGAGTGTGTAGTTATTAGGAGCTGGTGTGAAAAATTTCTGCTTCAAATCATCTCTAGTTCCAGTACCGAACTTGATACCAGTAGTAGTATGAGCTGGGATGTTTGGATTGTACTTTTATGGCCCAACAGGAACGTGCTCACCCTTTTCATCTCCAGAGTGATCATCTTGGTCGTTCTTTTAATGTGGGACAATTCTGAATCCTGGAAGATTTTGCAAGTCCTTAGGGTTATAAGAACCTGGTCCTGGTACTCCATTATCAAAGTTTACTTTTTATTCAAGAGGACCTCCTAAGAAAGATTTGGCTGTGCCTTCTTGCTTATCTTCTTTGCGAACTTCATAAGCGCCTGGACCTGGAGTGAAACTAGCTTTGTAAAGCTTAGTGTCGTCTGTCTTCATAGATTTAGGGAAACTGAACTAGTGAGAAGCCTCAGTGAATTTATTGGGATAGTAATTGTTTGGAGCTGGTACCCCTTTTGGTAGATCACTCCAATCTCTTCCAGCTTAGCCAAATGTAGTTTTCTTCTAGGCATTGGGTGGGACCTTGGGAACATTGATAGCACCTGGAAGTGGATAAGATCCAGGGCCAGGTCCATCCTTCTTCTTTGGCTTTAAATGATCCTTACTTCTCACATCTGAGTCGAATCTAGATCCCATTGAAAACAGAGGAGCAGTGTTAGCTGCCTTAATCAAGTAAGCGCCTGGTCCGAGACCATCGTGTTCCCTTCTGTCATTATTTTTCTTTATACCCATTGAATATTTTGGACCATCAGTGAGCAACTAATACAATTATTTACTTCTATGAATGAAAGCTTACATTTTATTTAATAGTGATGTCAGCAGGTCCTGGATAGCTAGGAATCTTCTTCTCAGTTCTACCTCCTGTGCCAAATCTATCAAAATGAATATTAATACCTGGTATTGTCTCAGTTGACTTTTATGAAGAGCGTTACTTACCTATACTTGGGAGCCTCATTTTGAGAGCCATCCTTTGCTATGGTATAATCATTGGGCGATGGAGTCCAGGTTGGCATCAGCATGTTGGGGTCTGATCTTTCACCCTTGCCTATACCTGCAGCCGCTGAAGTGTATATGTAGGCTTGATCCTTTTTGAATTCTCCGAATTAAGTGCCGGAGCCTCCTCCTAAAGTTGCCATCATATTTATTTTCCTTCTACGTTAATTATTATTCTTAATTTAATTCAACTTGGTTTATACAAATAAAATTCGCATCTTGGGGTTTTGGGGTTTTGGGGTTTTGGGGTTTTGGGGTTTTGGGGTTTTG